ACAACTTATCTTTTCTCCAAAAGTGCTAAGAAATTGGCTTCGTCTTGACAAAAGCCATACGCTTTCAGGTGAGGAAGCGTAAGAAGCTTGTTGACATTGAGCTGATTGTCTAGAAGATCGCTAAAATGCTGCATCCTTTGTGAGCTCGTGGATGGAAGATAACTCTGCTTGGCGTTAACTGCAAAAACAAAACATGACAATCAATTAAAATGTACAACTCGAGAATAATCCTCGTATGTACACGGGAAGCTTGAGCCTTACTCGCTTCTGCAGCGAAGACACCGGTCTCCCAGGCTTTGTAGAAAAAGAAATGTGAATCCTATTGTGGAACTTTTTTCTGAACATCGATCAATCCATTAAAACGTACTCTCCTCGCTTTGGAAAGGTAGTACGTCTGGTCTTGCCCTTTTTTGAGCCTGTACAAGTGGACGAGCTCTTTGACGGATGACTTGCCTAATTCAGCGATCATGTACACAATATACATCGCGATAATAATCATGTAAGAGTTGGCCATCAGCTAAAAAGGAACAATGTCGAATCGCCTCAGTACGTTATTGATGAAGTAATGCAGGGGAATGGATACCTCACACTTAAGGAGAGTCTCGGAGGTAGCTACCCATCTAGGCGGGGGGTTTTTCCGAGAATATTCCCTCATAACCACCAAGTTAAGTTATAACGCGTAGACCGCTCTTATGCGTTCGAGATCCCCGAGGGTAATCGAGGATTGTGGTTTTCTTCGTAGCCTATGGACTGGAGACGGCGGAGATTGGGCTAGCTAAATCAAAGCACGATCGGTAAGCCCGCAACGTCGGGGTTCGAGCTTTGAGTGATGAATTCTTCAAAGACCTCGGGGGACACATCCCCAAGGGCTACCGAGCCTACCTGCAAATCAAACATTCAATCTATTGTGTGACTGCTAGATGACGACATGGTTGTAACTCGACTCTGAGTACCTTAAAAAAGAAGCGAACATGTGTTAGAGCTCGAACAAATCGGCGATCATTCCACATTCGCTTCTATTTTAGGCACCCGAGATAGCTTGCACGATACGGCAAAAATACACAACCAACCTGAGATCACCAGAGATACACCCAAAAAACCCTACTAAAACCTTAAAACATCCAATATGGCCATACAGTAGCCACCCTTGGACATAAAAATCAGAAAAACAAAAGAGTATAAGGGAGAGAAGCTTTACCAGAATGGGGAAAGTGTTGAGAACTCGTAAGAAAGACCACCGCAATGACGCAAGAGCAATAGCGGAGAGTAGTAAGAGAGTCAGAATAACTTTTGGAATGACTATTCTGAGATTTTTCACCACCTTTTATAGTGGTTTGCATGGGAGACGAAAGGGCAGGGTTTAATCATGACCGTCGACTTAAAGTCGATCCCCACCCTTCATTTATTGAGCAAACTTGGCCTTTAGACGTAGCCACGTGTTGACCATCCACGGGGAGTGACAAACCATCAGATTGTAGTAATGATAACTATCATTGCACGTCACCTTGACTTCGCACGTGAATAGCTGTTGTTGCCCACGCGCGACGAAATGTAACTGACAAAGGTTGCCGCATTTAATGCGACACGACCACACATAAATTACCTTTATAACTTGACTTTTCATATTCTAAATTTTGACAGGTACCATGGCGAGATCCAAGTATGAGGTACGTCGGTCAAGCATAAGGTCGACCATAGGAGCCCGTTTGGACATGGACTCAGAGATTCACTATTGAAGTCGAGCTTGACATCAAATTGAGCAATAGTCTTCGAAACCCGAAGCGAGCATTTTACACTAGGGGCAAATGTTGTGTGTGGCTTTTCCGCCAAGCTCGGGCCAACGCGAGGATATAGCTCGACCCAGAATGAGCTCGGCAACAATGATTGATTGACCCAGCATAAGCTAGTCGCGGACAGTTCAAGGAATCATTCAATCAACCTCCAAATTATTTCAGATCCCAGATATTACAGGAATGACTAAATCAACCGTGATCACTACGCAATCATAGCGCCTAATTGCGAGAATATCGGAATTGCGATTAAGATCAATTGTAATCTCCTTGATTTCGCTCTTTTCTTTGTACAAATCTTGTCTATAAACCCCCTCAAACGATGAGGAAGGGGTTACGAATTTCACATAGGAACTATATTGTAAGCTGTCACAGCAAATACAAAAACAGTGGACTTAGGCTTCAGAGTTAACCTCGCCGAACCACTTTAAAACTCTCATTGTCTTCACTTTATTGCAATTTTTACATACATTGTTGATTATTCTTAATCACGCACACATCAGTTTCGATCTCGGTAAGGTCGATCGGATCTCGCTGGTTGGTGCAGATTTATGTATCAATAGTATCCTGCCCAAGCCATAGGTTGGTGGTTCCTCTTCAAGTTTTTCCAAAATTTTAAATTTTTTATAAAATTATTATTTAAATTAAAAAAATATATTGATTAAATAATTTATATTTAGAAAATAATTTAATTTAATTTAACATTGTTATAATATAAAATAATTAAAATTTTGAAAAAATTGGATTCAGACATCAAAAGAATTTTATTTTGAAATAGGGTCAAATTATACATTTGAGTCCATTCTTTGCCTCTAGAATGACATTCGTCCCCAATCTTGGAATCCCATTCCTTACTCAAGTCATTTAAACTAAACAAGAGAATGAGAATCTCATTCTTATTCCCTTGTTCGTTCCGTCAAACTAAACAAATAAACAACACCTTTGTCCAATCTTATTTTAGAGGATGGCGGAAAATCCACTCTACTCATAAACACTGCTCCGTTTGGTTCGGTATTTTACACTTTTGAGAATAGTTTTCTGAAAAAAGTTGGTTGTGTTGAATTGAGTTGTATTTAATAGTTTTCTGAAAAAAGTGTTTGCATTTAAAAATGTTGTTTATTTATTAGAATTTCTTGTGGGGTCAGTAGGTCACTTTGGTTTCACTTTGGCATCTGTGCGCCTGCGTCTAGTGTTGTGTATTACGTTTATGAACTCCCACGTCACTCGCGCCGTCAGTAAGTTAGCTGAACGCAGGGGTATTTTTGGTTGTATCTGGATCTGAAAGGAACTGGAAACGCAGCAGCGATTCTTGACGGCAGGATGGAGAAAGTGTTCTATGGGTTTGGGCTGAGTCTAAAACTTTGTTGTATGATCTGAAATTTTCAGTGAAGAAGGAGAAGAAGAAAAATGGGTGCTTTGTGCTTGGTTGATGGACTGAGAGAGGGGAAGGGATTCACGGCTCTGCTTTGGTGGAGAATAGTGGAGTAAATGAAGAGAAGAAGGAAATAAAAAGCTCAGTAGCAGTTGGGCGAGAAGGAGGAAAAGTTATTTCAGTGTGTTTTGTGCTTGGTTGATGGATTGAGCGAGAGGAAGTCACGGGTGTGTGCAGTAAATAAAAAGAAGAAGATGCATTAAAGATGTCAGTTGTTGTTGGGCGAAATAATAGCAAAAAATTCACAAACAGTCAAAAAAATACTGAGTAATATTAAGAATCTTTGGATGGATATGTGAACCAAACGCAACTTTTACTGTTACCTTTATTGAGAAAAGCATTGATAGTTTTTTAAAAACTAAACCAAACGGAGCCTAATGAATTTGGAATGAAGTGTGAAATTCCCAATATAAAACTTTTCTGTAAGGCCTAAAGTTTTACAAACCTTGTTTAGGGCATGTAAACATGACAGTCTATTTTGAAACTTCTCAATTTATTTATTTTTTAACACTTTTAACAAAGATGAATGATTTACAAGAAATGTCAAAAAATTAATGAATCCCAATTTTCTTTTTCTATTATTTATTTCTTAATGCTCATTACAAATCCAACAAATGGCAACAAGAGTCTTAAGTACCTATGGGTTTTCATTTAATTTGTATTCATGAATAAAAAAGACTCAATTGTCTTTTGAGTTTGTAGAGTGATCAATAAATCCTATAATTAATTGAAGTACATATAAACTAACATAAACATCTTGATTACTAGAAAAAAAAAAAAAAAAAAAGACTCAATCGGTTTCATTTATTTGAAACATTTTTAGAACTTTTTAAAAATAATTTTAGATATTTATCTCAAAATATCCACACGAAGCATGCTTAAAAAGTGTGCCATAATATATGTTTAATAATATTATCGAAAGGTTATCTTTAAATTAGTTAAATGATTTATAGTATGCATTTCAGATCCAAATGCCTTCACTGTCATACTCAAGAAAAAGACCTGTAACTTCCACACTGCAATAAAGAACAAAAAGCAATTTCCAAAGTTATAATTAACTATTTTGAAAACAATGAGCCTTCTTCTGTTTTCATTCTTTGGAAAAGCAACAATAATAACTCATTACCAATTTTTTTTTTTTTTTTTTTTTTTTAAGACAGAATATTACTTGGCCAAAACTTATTATGCACATATATTCCTAGTTTGAAATACAAGTAAAAATCTTATTAAAGTTACACTTATTTTTAATTTGAACTTTTAAATTGAATAATATTGTAATGTTATAATAATTTTGGTTTAAATTTCCATCAATCTATTGGCTTAAGTTCTATTGGTTAAAATCAAACATCAAAAAAAAAAATAAATAAATAAAAAAAAAAAAATTATATTGAACGGTTGAAAAGGAGAAGCTAGGGGGCAATTACAGGTAAGCAACTTCTAACTCAATAGATTATTTTAAATCAATGGATAAAAATCTGTGTTATATATTTGCGTAAAAAAATTGAATTACAGTATAAAGTTGATATATTAACATATTTTTCTTATTTCAATACAATATTAGTTTAAAAAAATTTCAAAATATTACTTTAATTTTAATTAAATCAGGTGAATGGGGTGGGAGAAAGAGTACACTAAGTCAATCTAAGAATAGAAAGTTATGGTAACAAAATTTGAACTGAAAATTATGGGATGAAATCGATGTGATGTTAATCAAGACTTTGAAATGACATAAATCCCAAAATAAAAAATTCTAAAAAGAAAAAAAAATATTAAATTCAAAAAACTAAAGGCACTCAGCGTTTTTGTCCCCAATTGAGCTGATTGAGCTTCTCCTAGACCCAGTCTGCTCCTCAACGAAATTCAAAAACCCCAAAAAACCCTTCTCCTTTCATCGAAATCTTTGATTTTTCCTCAACTGGATTCTGGTCTTTGAGGTCGAATTTCACGAGGAATTCCTTAAAATTTGAGCTTGATTTTGAAGGTCTGGGTTTGTTTCAGATATGGGAAGTAGAAAAGAAGAAGAGAGGAATGAGAAGATTATAAGAGGTCTCATGAAGCTGCCTCCTAATCGACGTTGTATTAACTGCAACAGCTTGGTATTTTTCGTTTTTTATTTTTATTATTTGCTCTTTCTTTTTGTTTTTGTTTTTGTACTTTTCAATATTTTTGAACTGGTAGCTGAAGGGTTTGGTGCTCAAGGTCTGTTTGGTTGCTGAGAAAGTGTGGAAAGATGGAGGGATTTGGAGTATTTTGAAGAGAGAGATCGTGATTCAGTGTTGTTGAATTTTCTTGGAAAGTAGTTTGATGAAATGGGTTTTTCATTTTGTGTTGTTTTGAAGTGAGAGAGAGAGCTTGTGAGTTTTTCTCTGACTTGTGATATCAAAATTTGTAAAAATATGATTTTTTGGAAGTGTAAATCTGTTTTATTTTTTTAGGCATGTTTAGGATGAAATCACTTGGCGAAATTTTATTTCTGGTGTCATGTAGTATGAATGATGAAACCATGTGAGGAATTTATCACAAGTTGAATTGTTGGGGAACACTTTTGGAGTCCAGTGGTTTGAGTTTATGGAGTACTTGAACATAAAATATGGGGTACCATTTCTGCGACACTATGGTTATAGGGGAGAAAATGATGAAAAAATTACTTTGCAGAAAGCAAGCAAGAGTAACCGTCTTCGGTATCTCTGAGATTGAGGATGATACCTATTAAATTAGAGTTGGATGAATGCTATGCGATTGTGGGAATGTCTGCCAAGTTGAGAAATGTACAAATTGTAGAACAAGTATTAATGTTAACTTAAAGACTAAAGAATGTTGGGAATAAAATGAGTATTGCTGAAATGCAGATGTTAGAATTGATGTGTAATAACATAAGAAAAAATGAGGCAAAAAATGAATACCTTTGTAATTTTGTTAGAAGGTAGAGGTAATACTTGGCATAAGTTGTAGAGAGAGTTGATTGAGATGGTTTTGTCATATGTAATATAAAGCTATGAATGTGCTAGTGTTATAGTGATTTGATAGAAGTTGTACGGACTAAAAAGTGAAGGAATAGAAAAACAATTACGTTAGAGAAAATTTTAATTTTAAGCTTCTTAGACAGAATATGAATCTGTGACCAACCTGTGTAGCTCAGGATTGAGGCTTAGTTTATTTGATTTGTCTTTATGGTTGCTTAATAAGGTAACCGCAGTAGTTCTGGAAATAGTTTAAGAATGGGCATTTGTTATTTGGAGACAATTGAATTAAAGTCATCACTTAAATAAGCCTAATATTATCATTTCCCTTGTGTTGAAGATATTGACCATATTTATTTGGTCTTCTTGCCCATTGTTTTCCATTTTTATTTTTTTTTATTTTCTCAGAATGTTTATTGATTTACTGTATAATATCATCTGTGCAGGGTCCGCAATATGTTTGTACCAATTTTTGGACTTTTGTTTGCATGACTTGCAGTGGGATACAGTGAGTACTTTTGTGTTGATTTCTTAATTTGTTGTTTTTTTTTTCTTTTCAGTTTTTAGCAGTTTCATTGCACAGGTACTGGTGTTTTAAAATATGTATTCTCATGTTCTGAGATAGGAGTAGTCTGGTTCTTCAAGTTAAATGAACTAGATTTATCCATTATTTATAATAAACTATTATATTCTGACATTGTTTAGATAGGTGTTTCATATGCTTATATGTGTACAAACTTGGGTCAATTTGTTATATATTTTACTTTAGCCTACCTATGAAATGGAAGTTGGACTAGAGTCAGAGGAGTGACATTGACCAATATGAACAGTTCCATACACATAGAAAAGGTGACATGTTGATGGGTTGGTTTGCTTATCTTTTCTTTTTGGAGAGGGAAATTGTCAGCAAATGTTCCATTAATCCTTTTGAATCTTCATGTTCTTTTTCTTACATATATTTTTCTTATATTTTTGGTGACATACAGTCGTGAGTTTACTCATCGTGTGAAGTCCGTATCGATGTCTAAGTTTAGCTTGCAAGAAGTTGAAGCACTTCAAAATGGGGGTAATCAGGTACAAGCAACAACAAAAAAAAAAAAAAAAAAAAGTATTCTTTCTTGGTGAAAATGTGATGCTTGTTGTTACTTTGATAAGATGTTCGCTTTTTTCAGCGTGCAAGGGAAATATATCTGAAGAATTGGGATCCACAAAGGCAAAGATTACCTGATAGCAGGTGCAGGATAAATAATTTGTTGCTGAAGGCATGTAAATGGAAAAAAATGTAATTTTTCTAACCTTATTTTCTTCTTGCAGCAAAGTTGATAAGGTCCGAGAGTTTATAAAGAGTGTGTATGTTGATAGAAGATATGCTGGAGGAAAGACATCTGAGAAACCTCCAAAAGATATGCAGGCAATATGATCTTAAACACACATCTCTCTTTATTAAATATTTGCTTTTATAAATTTTAGCTGAACCTTAGGGAGTATTCGTCTTGCTTTCTGAATCTATTTTTCTTATCATGAAGTGAAAAATAGAATCGATGCTGTGAACTTGTTCTAATTTTTTTTTCATGAACAGCCTTCTTAAGTCCTTTTTCTTATGATATGAAGAAATACTTGCATTGAATGTTGTGTTTTTCATTTATCTTTATTATTAGTATGATTATTAATTTTGAAAAAAATTTCAAATGTACAATCTTTGTTTTTGTAGCTATTTGGATGTTTAAAAGACACTTTGAGAATTCCTAAAAGAAAGGGTACTTTCAGAATGGAATCAAAAGGCACTAAATCATCTATGCCATTGTCCTTTTGTTCCATTTCAAATTATCTCACTCTAACCTTGGGTGGAACTGTTACATTTAGTATTCATAGATTAATTTTACAGGGCCTAGGAAGTCGTGAAGATGAGACCAGGCGTGCCAGTTCTTATCATTCTTATTCCCAAAGTCCACCTTATGACTATCAATATGAAGATCGGCGTTATGGAAAGCAAAATGCTTCACTTACCAGGAAACCTGGTTCAGATAGAGGCCACTATGTTGGGAAGATCTCAAGTTTTGTCTACAGTCCTGGTCGGATGAGTGATCAAATGTTTGAGGACAGGTTTGCTAATGAGGGCTCTGGTTCTAGGGTTTCTGACTTCTCTGTGTCTAGTGGAGGTGATCCATTCAGGTCTGGTACAGAATCTCCTAACTTTGAGAAGGATGTGGGATTTAACAGCCCACCTGTTCAGCCTTCAAGGGATATTTCATCCTCGATGGCAAATTTCAGGAGAGAAGTAGATGGCATTCCACGTCCACAGGTCATATATCTTACAATTGCTTCAGTTAGTAGCAAGATGCAGTTTTCCATAGTTTTCCAATTGTTTCCATATGGAAGTATCCTAATTTAAATGGTGCATTGACATGGCATATATTACTTTTAACACTTAATGTAGTTTGTTTTTCGGTGGGTGTTCTGTATAAAGTGATTGTCAGCTACTGAACATATGAATCGGGTGAATCTTTGAATTAAGCTTTGCTGTAATGTTAACTGTAATGTTAATTTTGTTTGATATGCACATATTTTCACTATCTTATTGAATTTATTAAATATGTGTGCTCTTTGCTTGAAAGAAGGAGATAGAATTCTGTCCACAGGTTCTAAAGGCTTGGTTTACAATTGACTAAATGTGAAAGTGAAGCATCAATGCCATGTTTGATACATGTCTCTCCTATCATGTTTCCTAATCCGCATGACCGTTGCTTAGTGATAGCATTAGTGAATTTTTCATGTTAATATTAAGGTTTTATTGACTTCTAGCAATGATTAAATTGTAATAATACATGAACAAACACATGTGGTAACACATAAACTGAGGAACTTTTCTTACACAATGCGATGTCAAGCGGTTGAAATATGATTAAACTATAATGTTGGCATATGCTTTGTTCAGGCTTTTATTTAAGTTGATTTTGGGTACATACTGTTACACAGGTTTTTTTCTTTCTGCAAATGTTTCATCCTCTTTCCTTTTCCTGTTCTTCTGTTTCTAAAAAGTTGGCATTTGTTTATTGTTCTATTCAGAGAACAACATCCTTGGGAAGCTTTGGATCATTTGACAGCAACTCTGTGTCTCTCAAGTCGTATAATTCAGGTAGCTTTTTAGATGTTGTCTCAGAACCCGAACAAGCTGCTGTAGCCCGCCAGGATAAAATATCCACTGTCGCACAACCCTCTGGTCCAGTGAATTATGGTGGCTTGGACCTTTTTCAGGCACCGGTTGTAGAAGAATCAGTATCCTCTGCTGCTCCAATTGATTTGTTTCAGCGACCAGCAACATCAACTCGTGTGAATGTGTTTCAAACGTCACAAGCATCTTCTGCTCCATCTGTCAATTTTCATCAGCCTCCCCAAACTGCACCTAAATCTTTAGATTTCTTTGATATTCCTGAGCAGTCATCCACTTCAACCTTGGATATAAAATCTCAGGAGTTTTCTGATCCAAAAAATGAAGGATGGGCAACATTTGATACACCACCTACAGCATCCATTCCAAAAAATGAAAGTCTTTCCCCTCCTATAGTTCCTTTTAATGGAGTTTCTTCAGTCAAATTTGACCAACATAGATCCTTCAATACAACTTCTCAGTGGCCAACAGTTCTAAATTCTGGTGCTCACCCTCCTACTCCATCATCTGATCTGTGGTTTGATGGTTTAAACAATGGTCAAGCTCCCACTATGGCTACAAACACTCAGGTAAGCAACCTTTAATTTTCCAATATGCCTTTGTAAAATAGTTTAGGAATACTCTTTTTGTTTTAAGTTTTTTGTGCTCCACTAGTTTCAATTTGCTACTATGTGCCATCTTTTGAAATTTATGATTTGGGGTATGTAATCAATTTTATCTATTATTTCTTAGCAGTCATGGAAAGCTTTCAATGATTCTACCGGCCATCTTCCTTTGGAGGGGGTTGAGCAAAATTTTGAACCACAATTAGCAGCTAATCAGCCTTCATCAAATACAGATCAGCATTTCAACGTAATAATTTCAACAGTTGCTGTCTCTGCCTTAGAATTTTTGTAAAAGCCCTGCTTTTCTGTTTCATTCTTACAGATTTATATTTGCAGGACTCTAATCATGGTGGAAATCACAGAGCTTTCTCACTACATGGACCACAACCAATGAATTTACCGTCACACATTGATGTGGGGCCACTATGTACACCATCAGTGCTTCCTCTAGTGGTTTGTACTACTATTTTTCTGTGTGATATTAGCCATTATATTATTACTGATTTATCTGTGTGTTTATGAATATATATTTTTATATGCAGGGAGAGACACAAACACATGCCACTGATCTTAAATCAACAAACCCATTTGATTTTCCTTATGATTCTGATTTGGAGCAGAAGAATATGGTATGCCATAGATTTTCTTTTGTCAAGAAATAGTAGTACTGATCTCTCTTTTAACTGAAACTGGAAATATATTTACCTTTACGTTTAAATCCTATTACTCTCTTTGTTTAGCCTTGCTAGTTAAGAGCTTGAGTGACATTCTAGGTAAAAGCAAGGATTTGCTGACAGAGGAGGAAAAGTGTGATGTTAATATGTAGCATGGTTAGAGAAGAAATATATTCATTAGCTGTGGCTAAATCCCCGTGTCTTATTAACAGACAACTAAGAAGTCTATCAGCATTAGGGAAAGTAACTTGATGGTTATTGAATTCTCTGCTTGTTGCTGGTTCAGTAGTAGTTATGTTTATTTGTGCAGGGAGGTTTAATTATATACTATGTTTAGCTATTGTTAAAAGTTCCTAGATATTTTGCCATGCTGACCGGTGCTATGTTAATTTCTAAATTTGATGTCAAGACCACTAGATTCATAAAGTAAGGTGCAAACAATCAAATCTTCATTGGAGGAGATAAGAGGAAGCTAGGGAAGGTTGTTGACTTTTTTATTTTCTTTGTGTGCATAATTTGTTGAACTAGGTTGTTAGGATCCCACATTGAGAGGGAAAAGGGGTGGGCATGTGGTTTATAAGGGCTTGGGCACCCTCCCTTGACAAGCCGGTTTTTCAAGGAGAGTTCTACCCAAGCCCTCAAAAAGACTATTGTCCAGCCCAATTCTTATCAAAGGCTCATTGTCCAACCCAATTTCTATCAATTTAGGAATGAGTTTCTATCAAATAGTATCAGAGCAAGCCCCACCTTCCAAGCCCACGCAAGAGGGCCCAGTGGGCCCCTTAAGGGGCTGAGAAGGAGAGTTGCTGACAGGCTTCTAGGGCCTGATAGGCTTCTAGGCGAAGTAAGACCGGAATGGAGGCAATAAAGCTGATGAGGTCGGGGTAGCCGATGAGGGCGGGCACTCTTTGAAAAGAAGACCAACGAGGACGTTGGGGCTTGAAGCGTGGGAGAATGTTAGGATCCCACATTGAGAGGGAAAAAGGGTGGACATGTGGTTTGTAGGGGCTTGGGCACCCTCTCTTGGCAAGCCGGTTTTCCAAGGATAGTTTTACCCAAGCTCACAAAAGGACCACTGCCCAGCCCAATTGCATCAAAGCCCCACTGCCCAGTTCAATTCCTATCAATCTGGGAGTGGGTTCCTATCACAGGTCATGTTTAACTTTCGAAGTCTTCCAGATCTGGTCCAAGTTCAGTCCCAATGCTTCAATCAAACATTTAAGTTATGTAATTTATATTCCTTTGACTTCAGGAATCAGTCATGATCTCTTTTATTTATTTTGAAGTCTTACTTTCATGAATCAGTTCCACTCTTATTATCCTCCAAAGCATGCATGTATCAAAAACTTTGCTATATACTGGATTCAATAAAGTAATTGATGTGGAGATTCCTGGTTTTTCTAAAAGATAAATAATTGTGAAATTGCTGAAGATTTGGTACAAATGTTTTAAAGGAGCATTCGGTAGTGTTTTGTGTCTTCTTGTTTTCAAAGAATGAACTCAAATTGAAAATAGAGAACTCAAAATGAAAACAGAATTTTAAGGGGTTTCTTATGAACTCAAACCCACTTTTCCACTTTTTTCGTTTTTTTGTCTTTTAGAAACTGAAGACTTTGTTTATCATTTATTTTTGTATTTCCATAACACAAAATTCAATACTAACTGTTATTTAAGTAAATTTGTGAACTTTTTTGTAGAAACAGAGCAGTATATTGTCAAATTTGTATAGACATACTTGATTTGTGTATCAGGGCAGGTTGGTATATAGTTGTGCACTTTTGGGGCTATACAAAGCTTCATGTTTAGTAAGTCCAAGCATCATTTTGATTTATCTCCGGGCTTGTATGATACTAATGTGTTGTTTAATTTTCTCTTTCAATTCCCTTTCTGTTTCTGTCTATTGTAAGAGACTAAATGGTGTGAAGTAGGGGATTTTGGTGCAGTAGGCAGGAAGGTTCTTCGTGTGTGAGGTGTTAAGAGTGGTTATGGGAAGGGACAGATGGCATTAAGGGAGTGGACGATTGAAGAATTCTGTTATGAGGAATAGAATAAAGGGGAGACAGCGGGATATGGGGGATACTCTGGAAAAGTAAAGGAAAGGGAAAGGAGGTTGTGGCCCTCAAAGTCCAGCTGTCTATGTCCATTTTTGTTATCCTTTTACTGTTCTTTTGGTTGTGTTAATTTTCATTTTGGTTGTTTTGTCTGATACAGTTCTCTTATATATCAATATACTTACATCTTCTGGGTTTTGGCTGTGCTCAATACTGTTTTGCTGGTTTTTGCTATTTTGGTTTGCTTGGAATTGTGTTGGTTCAGTTGGGAAGAGGGTTCCATCAGTGACCAGGCTGTTTTCAGTTGTCTAGTTTCTGCCAGAGAATTTCAATTTTTGATTTGTCATACCTAAATTTGTCTTGCAATGTATCATTTTTCAGGTTCTTGGACATGAGCTCCTTGCAAACTGCACTCCCAAATGCACAGTTAACATCCACCTTCCTTGGTGGTGCAACTCAATCATGGTTCTCTCAAGATCAGTGACTCCTTTTATCCTGCAGATCACAGGGTAATTGTTCTTTGCCTCTTGCTACTGAAATATATTCTTACTTAATACAGGACTGCTGTTGTTAGTGTTGTGTTTGTTTCTAGTAGGTTGAAGCTTTTATTGGATAATGAGCAACTTGTAGACATGAAACATCTTTGACAATGGCATTTTTCATCTTTCCATCCAATGTGCAGGTGGCTAGCCTACATGTCGGACAGGCACCAACCCTCAATTACAGTAAGTTTGTAATTTGCTCTTGTTATTATTTGGGCAGTGCTGGAATAATTGTTTTGAAATGGTGAAATCATTTCTGGCAATTCTCTTGTCATCATTTTACTCAAAAGTTATGAATTGTGATTTTTTATCCAACATTTGAATTTAGCAAGAAGTTTGGGCAGAGATTGCCTGAACACTAACATGCTATTGCTTGAATTTGGTCTTATGTGATTAGTCACTCGCTGTTCGCTGTAGTACAAACTTTTTTTAGTTGCTGTGGTGGGTATGAGGGTTTGCCTTACCTAAAACCAAAGCAAGACTTCACATCTGTAGTGTATCCTAGTCCTGCTATGCTTAAACCTTCATCCAAAACCTAAACATTACCTGTTAATAATTGGAGAACCTCAATTTATTACGGCGGTTGACAGCCTTTTGTGCCTCCAACCTGGCCTAATCTAAATATAAACTAATTGTTACTTTTTGGTATACTTAATCACCTAATGAGCAACATGCAGAGTTTATAGAGTCTCTCTTAAGATGAGAAAATAAAATTGGGAAGGTTTCATATAAGGTGGCTATTCGATCATAATGTTCATTTTAGATGCCCCTGGTTGTAAACTATGTGATTGAGTTGAAGTTGCTTTAATCTTTGTATCTTTAACCAATGTGGGAATAGCTTCTTTGGCTGCACTTTGTTGAAAGGTTTTCGATTTTATGAATCTACATATTATTTTCTAGAAATGTCATTTCTTAGAACATTAACATTCTGGTTGGGATACTCTTTTTTCCAAATATTTCCGTGGTTCTATACCACTCAAGTTGATTAAATATGAACAGACCCTTAAGCTGTTACCATTTTGAGTATTATATCAGAAATAGCTAAACTTGGTTCCCTTATTTTCAGGAATGTCCCAGCACAAGGGCTGTTGCTCTGTTGGAGGAAATCCATTCGCTTAGAATTCCTCCTGCAAACTGTGTTCTTCGTAGTGAAAATTTTCTTGTGACTAATTGTAGCGTGTTATTTATTACACTATTATGTCCTTATTCTGAGCGTATTCGATGTGAAAATAAAACCTTTACGTGAATAACGGCACCAAATTTGGAAGGCCGTGAAAGTATTTATTGCATCTTTTTCAGGCCTAATATTTGTATTTGAATCACGTTGTTAGAAGTTAGAACTAGTGATTGTAGCTCAAGAATTGGTTTTGTAAGGTTCTTATATGGATCAAAGATGTGAATACCTTTCTGGTTTTTATTACTAGATGCTCCTTGTAAAAATCCAAGTATTTGTATTTTACTATGTGAAAGGTTTTTATACTATGATGCTCCTTGTAAATTAAATATCAAGTATTTGATTTGACTATTTTCATTCATCAGTAGATTGAAAATATTTACAGATAAAAATCAAATTGTGATAAACTGTCATGTTTTACGGAAACCCCTATTTGGTTCATTTTCCTCAACTAAATCAAATTATCACAAAATACAATTATACGTATAAGTATATCCAAAACTTTAATTCACGTAAAACAAGATATGGTGTGTGTCTTGTATGACTAATGAGCAAGCACATGACATATTAGGGTGATTTTTGAAGATGTAATTGTAGAATGTCTGTCTTCCCGACACACAGTGTGCAGGAATGTCTTTATTCTAGCGCTTGTCTTGTACAAATGCAAGACATGCTCAATTATTTGCTTGACTAAATATAGTACAAAATCTTTAGATTTACCATTTAAAGGAGTCCAATCCAAAACAGATGACCTCCAGTAGAAGAAACTACTATCTATTATAGGCTAAAATACAAGATAAAACAATAGTTAGACAGTACTAATGAGTACCAATTCGTCAAACAGAGACTTTTCTGAACATTGAAATGACTTATCTCTTCTATGGCTAAAACAGATCCAACCAAGAGTAAAATACAATAATGTTAAGCGTGTTGAGAGAATTGAATTGTTAAGGAGATATGTTTACTTCTTGATTTATATAGAATCTTTTCCAAATGGGCTAGTTTCAACAAATGGGTTAAATCGGCTTTATTTAATATAATTTCTGAAAATCATCTTACACCAACCATCTAAGAACAAAATACACAATTATTGATCAAAACAAAAAAAACTTCAATGATCAAACGAGATTCTCAAAAAAAAATTATGAATATAAGAAACATACATAGTTTTCTTGGTAGATGAATGTTCCAATTCCCCAAAGAAAATTTCAAATTGGATCCTAGAAAAACCATGAAAATGACATAAGAGTCATCTATATATTAGCTAAGAAGATTCAGTCAGCAGATAAATTTAGGTTATAATTTTATCTTTCAATGAAATTACTAAAGGATTAAATAAAATGAACTTATCTTCAACTCTAATTTATCTTTTGCACTCTTAATGCCTTTATCTTAGATCAGATTTTATCTAAATCTATTAGATGATAGAGAAAGAAAGTATCCCAAAGGACAAGGGACAATTCGGAAATATTAAGAAATAAATTGATATGGTTTTTTAAGAAATGGATGAATTCATATATGGTAATTACAAAAAGTAAACAATTAAAATTTCATTTCATTTTTCCAAAACTAAATACAAAGAGGAAAATAAATCCTGCTTTAAGCAACCTTATTCTCATCCTTGTGATTCTATGATTGTATGCATGGAATATCAATGATAAACCAAGAATGAAGAGAACTTGTATAAAGGAGAAATTTAATTCAATTATTTGAGGTAATTAAGTAGTAGCCTCTGTAGTCCCTCACATTTGCTACCCAAATCATAACAAAAGAAGCAACATATGGATATGGGATTGCCTTTAAGCTATAAAACGGTTTCAAGCTTTTACTTTCAGGCCACAATTCTCATGCTTAGCTTAGCTTGCATTATTCCCTTGGCGTGAATATCTTATATACACAACTATACGACCATTTCTGGCATTTGGCCTTCATGTGGAATGTTACGTATATAAACAATGCGGCCTTACCTCCAGCCATATTATTCAAGTGTTATAGAAAATCAAACGTGCATTAAGAGTGTTTGAGAGATGTCTTCTAACTTATGCCTCCAAAACTTTTTTGTGTTGTGTTATATCACTTTAATGGAGAAAATAATATCTTTATAATGGTTAGGCTAGCGACTAAGATAACTCTTATAAACTGCTTTTAACCTCCCATCAAAGATAAAAAAACCTAGTTAAATAGCTCTTTTAAACCACCTTGAACTGCATAATTGTGACATGTGACCACATCAAGTCTTACACTTCAAGCTTTCCCAGTGACGGATCCAACCACTTTTTGGGTGGGCCCTCAATTTTTTTTTTTTTAATATTAATATGTAAATTTATATATTTTGGCCCACCCTAAAAAAAATATTAATGGACAAAAATAGTAATGTATAATAAATTTTTATTTTGGCCCACCCTAAAAGAAATTCCTGGATCCACACCTTAAATCCTTTCCCCAAACTACAAAGCTTCCTAAATTATTAATAAACCTTCAATTCTCCAAATCCCAATCAAGATAACGCATATAAATACTCATTCAAACACATACTTAAAATATATTCAGTTAATTGTTCAATATGTCAACTAGAGGTTCTTGGCAAAGCTTTCTTCAACTACTTCATCGTTTACAGACACACCTCCACCTATAATTCTCCATGCCATCTTCCGGCCGGCCGTGTTACTGTCTCTAATCTTGGACATGGCTTCTCAATGCGTCAGACTCAGGGTCTCCTTTTGATCTGCAATGGCAACAATGGAGCATGTAGAAAACTTGATTCTAACATGTGATTGAATATTGCTACCAAAAATTTGTTATCACTCGTTTTCGACTACTCGAAAATAGAATATTCATGTCTAATAATTTTTCTCTTAATTTTATTGTAGGTTGAAGGATGATATAGACAAGGTTAAACCAGCACCAGTAACATCTCCACCTCCAAGGTTTAACTTCGCCCTCTGGTATGAATTTAATTAAGAAATTGTCTAATTGCATAATGTAGGGTTGATAATTCATTGTTTAGATGATTTTAATAGTCAAATAAAATACACTAAAATCAAATATGAAGAATCAACAGAATTAGTTGAATTACCATGCAGGGCAAGATGGATTTTGGGATCTATACTATCTCTGTTGCTACCTTTCTGTAAACAAAAATGGGAGAAGCTACAAAAAGTAGAAGGTAAATTTTATGAAATTATAGATATCTTCAGAGTAAGTTTTTTTTTTTTTTTTTGTCATACATGCAGCTTGTTACCACCAACTGAATTTTAAATTACCATAAACTGAGATTTCTTCATCTAATCCTTAATTTAGTGATTGTTCAAATGATATACGGATATCGTAGAGACTATGAAACGAAATGATTTAAATAATTAATACGAGAACAGTATGTAAAATGCATTTGTGCGTCTGGCCCGTCTGCCCTCTCGTATTTATAAAGATAATTAATCTTTTTGTATTTAAATATCAAAAACAATCTACAACAGAAATACCATAATTCGAGGTTAAATTTTTACAGGCAAAAGGATTTAATTAGTCCTAAAATTTTGTGGAATAAATGAAAAACATGATTATGTACATTAGCAACCTTACAGAGATTAATAAATTCGTGAAATTAATTAGTTTATAATTTGTAAATCTTAATAGGGGAGGCAGAAATGGTGGTTGAGGAGATAGAAAATGTAGCAGAGGTACTAAAAAAGGTGGCAACAGTGGCTGAGAAAGTATCAACACAAATGGCAGAGAAGCTTCACGATCATACGAAACTCCAAGAAGCTCCATTGTTGGTTGAACGTGTTTCCAAGCAACTGCTCAGGATGGTATTCACAAGGTAACCCTTTTTATTATTTATTCACCCAATTACTCAATCTAATATATAGTTATTGTCAACAAAATATTAATATATTATCAAATTGGGAAAAATAGAGCTATATTTAATTTAACAGTTAGTCTTCAATAAAATAAAATGTTAAACTTGTTCAATTTTTATTTCATATTGCGTACGGAAACCGTGTTTCTTAACATAAGCCATAATTTTGAACTATGTTTTAAAGGACCCTAATTGAGTTCCAAACTAACCTTGCATTACTTAAACCTCCAGTACTACAGTTGTAGACTGTTTCTTGTACGAAATAAATTTCTTTGAAGAAGAAGATTAAAAAATACTATATTTTAAGAAAGTTGAGATTTGACTCCTTATTTTCCCGAAAAACTTTTATAAAGGGTCACCAGGAAATGGTTGCTCAAAAGTTTTTGATAATATATAAACCTAGGAGCATGAAACTGGTCACTGTACAAGATTATTAGGGATTCAGGGTCAATAAAATGGTGCTTTTCAAGTAGTTTTAATTGAAGAAATTTAAATGTAGTTAATGGGGCCTGTTCAAGAATTTTGTGTTGACTAAATAACACCACTATTTTTTTTTTTTTTTTTTTTAAATTCATTCCAATGTGTAGAATAAAATTTGATATGATGGTTTCACACAATGGCGTTGCCAATAAGATTTAATAACATGAACCCCAAGAGACAGTGGCGGACCTAGGATTTTTGCCTAGGGGGCCCCCTCGCTCTGCCACTGTTTGCCAATCAACTAATGAAAACATAAGAAAATAACATCCAATTCACAAGGAAACACAAGAAAATTGTATACCTCTTTCGCTTAAGGAGCAAGCCCTAGCAAGCCAAAACGTGTCGTTTTATTTTTCACATCTGACGCAGTTTCGCCGTGGCGAAGCTTTTTCCTTGCCGTAACGAGAATCTTTCGGACCAAATTTGAGCATGAAAGAGTCTGAATATAGAAAAGTGTTAAACATATGAATTGTAGCCCTTTAAATTATATTTCTACTAGTTTAAGAATCAGCACAATATGAGGTCTACAACTCAAGTTATGGTAGAAATACTGAAGCACGTCCAAAGACGTTTTTCTTCAGTTTCCAACATACTGTTCACGACTTCAAGCCACGTTTTCACCCTTGTTCAGTCAGAATTAGGAAAAACCCAAAACATGAAAGTTGTAGCTCTGCTTCTTAGCTTTCCAAAGCTTCTAAAATTAGGTCATTCTGAGTTTCCAAGCTCAAGTTACGCAATTTACGCTCAAAACTATCATTTATGTTCAAAATCATCGTTTAGGCCTGCAAAGATAAATTAATAGAATTAGGTAGCAATTATGACCCAAATTGTATGAGAAGTATCTTAAATCCTATCGAAATTCAATGTAAAATCATAGGGAAAAATAGGATTATCATTTTCAACAACCACAAATCCACTAAAAATATTCTGCATAAATTTAGATCTCAATCACAACTCTAACAAAAATAAAATACACAAAGATTTACAAAAATATGGATTACAATCACTCCAAATCCAGATCCGCATGTAAAAAGGAAGTTGGGAATTGGGGAAGAAAAACTTGAATATAAAAAAGACAAAACCTAACTTTTTACTTTTTTTTTTACCTTTTAAAAAAACTTTAAAATTTTTTTTTTAAAGTTGAGGGCAGGCCTGGGCTTACCCTCAAGGGGCCTAGGTTCACCCCTGCCAAGAGATTGGCCTAACGGTCAAGAACGTTTGCTCTCTTTCTTGAGTTTTTAGGTTCAAACCTTGGGGCCACCTACCATAATAATATTGTGGCTTACTTGGTCCTTAGAGCTTGTAGGTGTTCAATGGGCCTTGGGGATTAATTAAGGTGCGCGCAAGCTAACCTAGACACCCCAGTTACCAAAAAAAAAAAAAAGATTCAATAACATGTAAGATGTTGGATCGTCTAAATGTAAAATTTAGGATACATTTTGAATAAATATAGTATTACTTTTATTTTTCATTTTTGATAAATATTGAAATGTATATATTGTGAAAAACAAAGAGATAATTCGAAGAATTTGAGAGAGAAAGGAAGTAATTATGTTATTGATTTTTTTTGGTTAAAGATGCAAGAAGAAGAATCCTTTTCTTTATATAGTAGCAGAGGTAGTAAAGGTAAAGTAGTTCAGCTACTCAGCTCAAGCAGATACCATAACTAAAAACGACAACATTTAACTTCTTAATCAAAACGACATCATTTTGAGTTTATTGAGCTCAATTGCAATGAAGTCAACAATCTTTTATTCTTGACACTCTGATCTACATTCCCCCTTAAGCTGAACCGGCTTCATTAGCTTCATTTCTTGTCACTTTGATCCACATTCTCCTTTAAGTTAACCAGCCTTCATTTAGTGACATTATGATCCACATTCCCACTTAAACAAGATTGAAGGATGTGAACCTTTCACTGAATTCCATAGGCAGATTATGGACTTTTTGGAAAAGCATATTAAGTCAGCAGAGGAGCAAGAGCCACTACAGCAGGATCAAAGCAAATGCAATAGGGAATCAAGTTAAAAAAAAAAGAAAAAAAAAAGGCAGAACCGAGAGCAAATGCAGAGCCAAGAGTTAATTCAGAGTGGAATTTCGAGTAGTATTGTTGATGAATGCTGAGTGCTAAAATAGAAATCAAACTTTGTGCTATAGAACTGAATGCAGCAACATGAAGTTTGATTTGGAAATGCTGAAATAGAACTTATTGTTGAAGAGCAGTGAGTGCAACAACATTAAGCTTGGCTTTTAAGTTTTGAAATTGAGTGATGGAGAGAGCCTTGGTGAGAATGTCAACAATTTGGTGCTGCAAAAGGACATACTAAACACTCAATTTTTTGGCAATAACTTGTTCTCTAACATAGTGAGTATCCAACTCAATATGCTTGGTTCTAGCATGAAAAATAGGCTTTGATGCCAATGCCCCTGCACTAAGATTGTTACACCAAATGACAGGAGAATTCTGCATTTTCAAACCCAATTCAGAGAACATGCTTTGAAGCCAAGCCATTTCAGTTGTTGTGTGTGCCAAGGCTCGGTATTCAACTTCTATTGAAGAGAGAGCAACAACCTTTTGTTTTCGAGAGCTCCATTGAATAAGAGTGGGTCCCAAATAAACACAATAACCACTTGTTGAGCATCTATTATCCAAGTTACTACTCTAATCAACATCGAAATAACATTCAACACACAATGAGGTTGTTGGTTTGAAAAGAAGACTATGATGTTGTGTTCCTTTGAGATATCTCAGTATCCTTTTACAAGCTTGCCACTAATGCTTAGTTGGTGCTTGAAGAAACTGACTAAACTTGTTGACAGTGAAGCTTATGTCAGGTCTTGTTAAAGTTAAGTATTGTAAAGTCCCTATGGTGCTTCAGTAAATAGTAGGATCCTGAAAAGTAGCAGTATCAGTAGAAAAGAGCTTTGTCCTAATTGTCATAGGTGTGGGACATGAGTGAGCCTCTGACATTTTAGTCTTTGCAAGTAAATCTGAAATGTACTTAGTTTGCTTAAGATGAAGACCTTGAGTTGTTTGAGTAGCCTCAATACCAAGGAAATATCAGACTGTCCCAAGAGCTTTTAAAGAGAACTACTCATTCAATTCTTGAATAAACTAATGGATAAATTGAGTATGGCTGCCCGTGATTAATATATCATCAACATAAATGAGAAAAGAGATCATTTTACCATCATTGAGTAGCGTAAAGAAGCTAGTATCAGAGATAGAATTCTGAAATCCTTTACTTAGAAGTGCTTGTTTCAATTGATCAAACCAAGCCCTTGGTGCTTGTTTGAGGCCATAGAGAGCTTTATTGAGTTTGCAAACAAAATTAGGAGCATGAGGATTGACAAAGCCTTTTGGTTGCTTCATAAAAACAGTCACACTAAGAGTGCCATTGAGGAAGGCATTGTTGATGTCAATTTGTTGAATGTCCCAGCCATTGGAGATAGCAAGAGTAATTCCTAATGGTAGATGGCTTCACTATAGGACTAAAAGTTTCAAAGTAGTCAAGTCCAAGAGTTTGTTGAAACGCTTTTGCCTCAAGTCGAGCTTTATACTTTTGAAGTGAACTATCAACATTGAATTTGGTTCGAAAAACCCACTGATTACCAACAATGTTCATATCTGTAGTAATTGGTACTAATGTCCAGGTATGGTTCTTTTCAAGGGTAGCATATTCAGCTTGCATGGCTTCTCTGCACTCAGCACAAGCTAAGGCTTCTCGAACTGAAAGTGGTTTAGAGCGTACAGGTGTTTGGTTGGAAGAAAGCAGGGTATATTTTGGTTGAATGGTTGCAGGTGTTTTTGAAGTGTTTTAGCTCATGTCATCATTGGATGACTGTTTGTGGAAGGTTGGGAAGTGTTTGGTTTATTAGGAAACTATGATGAAGATAACTCAACTTCAAGATTACAAATTGGTGGAGAGGTGTTAGCAATAGGAGAGGAGGAGGTAGACATCTGTAGTGTTATTAAGTTTATTTCAAGGGAGTAATTTGTGCAGGGTAATTTGGAAAGGTTTGGATTGTTAGAAGGATTAGTAGTTTGACTAGGTGATGAATAGGATATTGATGGCATGGTAGATAAAGAGGATTGTGAGGAAGAAGAGGAAGGAGCAACATATGCATTGGAGAAATTATGCTTACCAACTGTTGGAATAGGATTGATTACTGAACAGGGAACTGTAGGAGGAGCTTTGCCAGGAGGTGATTCAAACGAAGAGTGAGTATTATGTGCAGGTGGTTGTATTTGGTGAGGAAAAGAAGTAAAAGGGAATTTGACTTGGTTGGCTTGACTAGGCTCTGAAACAGGAATTGGTTGGGAAGAAGAGGCTTGGGAACTAAAACCATTTTTATAAGGAAACTCGGTTTCAGTGAACCTCACATTTGGGGCAATGTAAACCTTCCCATGAGAAGATAAACACTTATAGCCCTTATGGATCAAACTATAGCCTATGAACACACACTTAGAGGAGTGAAAACTGAACTTATGATGATTAAAATCCCTTAAATAAGGAAAACAAGCACATCCAAATATTTTTAATGAAGAATAAAGAGGAGATCTAGCAAGCAACACTTGATAAGGAAAGACAAAATTCAGTACAGAGGATGGCATTCTATTAATTAAGACTAACTGTTTTGTCAAAAGCACACCACCAAAGATGCATAAGCATAGAAGCATGAGCTAATAAAGTTAGTCTTGTTTCAATAACATGTCTATGTTTTCTCTCACTCCTACGTTTTGTTGATGAACATAAGCACATGAGTGTCGAAATTGTATTCCAGTATTAGTTAGATAGGAATGCAAGCCTTTATATTCTTCTCTTTGGTCAGATTGTAAATATTTAAGTTTATAATTAAACAGTCTTTCAACCAAGTGATGAAATTTAATAAAAACAGAAGCAACTTCAGCTTTAGTTCTTAAAGGGAAAAGCCAAGTAAATCGACTAAAGTCATTTATGAATTAGATATAGTATCTAAAGCCTTCCAAAGACACTATAGGTGCTAGGCCCCAAACATTACTGTGAATGAGTTCAAGGGGATTTGTTGCTTGGGAATGTGAAATGGGAAAGGTTTTTTTTGTGAAGTTACCAAGTTGACAAGCATCACAAAAGGTTAAAGTTGATTTGAACTTAGATAGTGGGAGATTAGGTATTTGATCTAAAATTTTGTGAAGGATTTTAGCATGGGGATGCCCTAATCGTTTGTGCCAAGTTGATAAGAGTGTAATTTATATATATTTTTTTATTCCTTCCATATTATGTTTTTGTTATGTTTTATGCCTAGTTGAGTTGATTAGAGTTTATTTTGTAAGTTTGGCATATTTGGATAGACTTTATGAAATAATTGAGAAAAGATTAGGAAATTCCAGATTTTTGTTATTTTGACCAGTGCTGCGTTTTTCAGGTTTTTCATGAAGTCAGATTTCTCGATTGCAAAAGTGTTCTTCAGAAAAAGGAAGGTAGACGAATCAAGCCTTCCAGGAAGGTATTATGGGTGAGAATTTGAGTTCGTTTGGGCCCTCATTAGTTGTTGCAAAACCGGACCTGGAATCCTATTCGTGGAAGGATTTCCTGGCTAAGTATTGAGTCTTCGAATGGGCTTAACTGGAGCTTCAGATATCGAAACCAGGTGATTCAAAAGCCAAAATTCATCTACACATCTAGGACTACAACTTTTATGAAGTGACCAAGCCAGAAAAGTTCTTTTACATTGTGAGAATCCTGGTGCAAGCTGGATTACGAATTCTGTTTTCCATATCTGATAAGATTTTGACAGTTTTGAAAGTCTATCGTTTAGCAAAGATCTAGGAAAGTAATTTCTGTGATTCCTGGGGCAGAATTGAGGAAAAAACACATTATTTATTTATGAGTTGTTAGGTTAAACAGGGGAGAGCAGCAGTGGAGTGTTGTTTTTAGTTTTTTACTTTCTACATCAATATGTGCGACTAATCTTTCTTCTTCAGTTCAAGGGGATTTTGAAGCCTGAATTCATATCATTGGTGTAACTTAACTTCAGTAACATTGTTCTCAATCTCATTCTTATTGGAATTGTTTATGTTATTCTGTTTCAATTGTTTATGATTTTCTGTTTGGGTGATTTAGTAATGGCCTGCTGAATTGTTTAATTGGAATTTTATCTGTTAGAATTAGGAAGTGTGATACGTAATTGTCCTTTTTCTATTCAATGAGTAACACATGATGATAGATGATTACGGACAAGTTTTTAGTCTGTCACCTTGAATAACATAACCTAAGTTTAATAATCCGATCTTGCGTGATTGTTGCTTGGATTGATCTATTTTCCTAATTCTTAAGGCTGCCATTGAATTAAACTTAGAGAGCTTATTCTAGGTTGTTCAAAGGTTAAGATCTAGTTGAAGAGCTTATTTCAGTAGTGATAATTAAGGGAAAATTTGGGTAACAGAGCTTGTTGTTTCTTAGGGTTAATAATTCCATAATGACGAGATAGAATGATGTTACGGTTAGTTCGTGTCCAATGCATGTTTAGGTGGATCTTGAACCGAGAACTGGGTGTTTTTAATCTGATATTTTCTACCATTAGAGATTTATTTGCTTCACTTTAGATTGCATTGACTACAACCCCTTTCATTACTGTTGTCATGTTTACTATTTAGGATTTTATTTTATTTTATTTTTCTTTTGTTTTCGTTGTGGTTATTGGATAAAATATAGGAATTAATCTAATCATTCCCTGTGGGATCGACCCTTGCTTACCCTATATGTAATTTAGTAGTTACGTTAGTAAGGTTATTAATTTGGAGCATTCGGCATGCTACCACAAGTTATAGGACCATGATCATTATTATGACTAACTTGAGACACTAGAGCAAAGGAGGGTGTTATAAAGGTAGGATGTGCTTGGGTCAAACTTGAAATATCTGAAACTGATGACCCTAAGGTTGTTGTATCAGGAATTGATGTAATACTATTATCCATATGAGAGTACCAAATTTAGATGCATTATGATTATTATTATGCAGTGGAGGAAAAGTATCATGTGAACAAACAAAACAAAGGCAATTTTTATTCAATGAATGATGAGTACAATCACTAGAGTCATCCTTAGTATTAACACTATTGAAATTATTATAAGCATTAAAACAACCAGAGTTTGCATCAATACAATCTGAATTATCAGCAACTGACTTATTTAAAGTAGTATCTAATAGTTGTGAATTGGTTTGTGGACATTTGGACTCAACTGTATGAACAAAATTTGTATCAATACAATATGAATTATTAGCAACTGACTTATTTAAAGTAGTATGTACTAATTGTGAATTTGACTATGGACATTTGGACTCAGCTATATGAACATAAGACTTGTGAATGGAGGAAAGAGGCAGCAGAGGAGAGACAGATGATGAGTGAATTGATGATGACTAAGATGGCAAAATAGAGGAAAGGTTCAATTGGTATAATCCAGTTTTAAGCTCTCCCTACAGTAACACTGTATTTGTAACTTTGTCCTTAACTAAGCAACAGCTAGAAGAAAACTCAACCACAACATTACTATACTTAGTAAACTTGGAAATACTAAGCAAATTTTTTGTAATTCTAGGGACACACAAAACATTCTTCAAGTAAAGGTGAACATGTAAGGATAACATGAGAAATATGGAGGAACTCACCACTGCCTACTTGAAGTTGCTTAGCTCCATCATAGTTATGACTGATATTAAGTTGATTTAGGTCTACAGTAACATGGTCAGTTGCTCCTGAATCCATGTACCAAGTAGGGTCTTGCAATATGGTTGGTGTGACAGTTATGGAGGCTCCATTGTTGGCAGATCTGGGGAATGGTTGATTAGCAACCAAATAAGCTTGACTGGAGTCATTTGGTTATTGGCTGGGAACTTTAAATCCTGGTGCAAGATTGTTACCATTCAATGGAGCAGGGTAGTGCTGAGGAACTGAATAACCACCATTCAATGGAGTAGGGTAGTGTTGTGGAACTGGATTACCACTTGATGGTACAACAACATAATGTTGTTGCTGCTGGTGACCATTGCTAAAGTGGTGTGGTTGATTAACTCCATAAGAAGAATTGTAATGATGAGGAGCTAAGTATTGAACTTGCTGAGGATGAGGCTCTGACTCAGTGAATACAGCAAAGGGAGCAAAAGAAGTATTGGTTTGTTGAAATTGATTAGCAGAGCTGTGTTGCTGAAACTAATTAGCAGAATTGTTTGGCTAGACATTAAGTTGTAGCGATGATAACACTGTACTGCAGTGTGTCCAACCTTGTTGCATACTTTACATATTGGCTTTCCTTTATTATTTTTCCTCTATCTCTACCTCTTCCGAAAGAGTTAAATCTAAGTGAGTAATTAGGTGAAAAAAGAGCTCTATACTAACCAATATGAGTTAAGTAATGATACTGATCAGTAGGTACATGATATGAATGAGTAATTCCTAGATGAGGTTCTGGATTTTGTGAGGGATAGTGTTGCTATAAGAGTGGGCTATTTAAAGAGGTAATTCTAGAGGGATAAGTGTATGGTATATTGAGTGAAGATGATGAATTAGGCGGAGGTATTGAATAGTAGGAGGCATTAGGTAAACTCAACTGTTGTCCTGGATTACTGACAGAAGCAACATGAATTGAACTATTTTGAAAGTCTACCGAATTAAATTTTTCAATCCTCATCTCATATTTTTGAAGAAGGTATTGAGCTTCTTGTAGAATTACTGAATCGATTTGGACTCAATCCTAGACATCAAATTAACAACTACAATGTCAAATTCTGGATCGAGACCATTAAGAATGAGTTGAAGTAAATCCTCATCAGAGATTAACTGATCACTTGTTGACAAATTTTCAGCTATTCCCTTCATCTCCTTAATGTACTCACTAACATTCAAATTTCCTTTTTGAGTATTTTGCAATAAACTTTTCGAATGAAGAGCTCTTGCCTTCAAATCATTCAAAAACTCATTTTCAAGGGTTAAGCAAATAGCAGTTGAAGAATGACATTTTGACACATTTCCAAACATGCATTCAGAAATGGAAGCTAATAGCCAGGTAATTAGGAACTTATTAGTTCGTTTCCATGCAACATAATCTGGATTCACTATTTCTTTAATTGAACAGTCCTTTGAACTAACTTCTTTTGATTCAGTAACTACGTTATTTTCAGAACTGATTAAAGGAATAGGGCAAGGAATCAGACCTATTAGATGGTCTTCCAACTCATGAGCCCCAATAGCTGAAAGTACTTGAGATTTCTAGAAATGGTAGTTATCTTTGTAGTTGTCTCGAGTCAATTTGGGAGTAATGACTTGTAGACTTGATGGGAAAGCTGAGGCGAAATTGTTGCAGAAGCTATAGAGCATTTTCTCCATATTATTGTCGGACTGATTTAATCCAGATGATTTAGCCATTGACATGAGTCTAGGGCTCTAATACCATGTGAAAAACAAAGAGATAATTCCAAGAATTTGAGAGAGAAAGGAAGTAATTTTGTTATTGAATTTTTTTGGTTAATGATACAAGAAGAAGAATCATTTTCTTTATATAGTAGCAGAGGTAGTAAAGGTAAAGTAGTTCTGCTACTTATCTTAAGCAGATAACATAACTGAAAACAGCAACATTTAACTTCTTAATCAAAACGACATCATTTTGAGTTTATTGAGCTCAATTGCAATGAAGTCAACAATTTTTTATTCTTGACACTCTGATCCACATTCCCCCTTAAGCTGAACCAGCTTTCATTAGCTTCATTTCTTGTCACTCTGATCCACATATATAAGATTTGTGTTTTGTGATTGATACTCATTAAATTAAATATTTATATAATAAGCATGCATTAATTTGTGGTATCACATTACTAATGTAGTATCATTGTAATGTTAGACATTTTCTCTTATATATAGATTACATCGTAGTTTTACTAATTTTGGTCTAGATTAAGTACAGGTTGATGCATTGAAGGAAGACCTTAATGACTTGGAGTCAATGGTTGAGCCAATTGTTGATAAGATCGTTAAGCAAGAATCCGAAGGAAAGTAATATATATAGGCAATTCCTATATATTGTGCATGTAAAGCTGACAGAACATATGTTATCATGGAGTTCATTGATTTACTCAAGCCTATCAAATTTACATCTTGATGATAAACTTTCTAAAATTTATTTCATACATTTATTATTCATAATTTTAAAAGTTCAAACCCAGTTATAGCAATATCTGCCGGTTAATTTAAGTATAAATAATATAGTTTCAATGAAGAAGGAACTACATGTATCCAAGGACAGACCTAAGATTAATTTTAGACTGTCAAATTTAAAATAATATAACATAAAATAGGAGAAAAGTAAAGGAGTACGGTCAAATCTAAGAATACAAGTAAAAATATAGAATGGCTAAAGTAAAAACCAAACAAAATTAATTAAAAAAAAAATCTAAGTGGGGTAACCAACTCCACTCGTCATTGAGTAGGTCTGCCCATGCATGTATCGCATTGCTGACTTCAATACATGATGACAATGCCACTACGAGACTGCCCTCAAACTTATGAGTCCAATCGTAGTCTTATATCACAAATTTGAGTTCTCTAGCTTGAGGAGTGAATTACACTTAAAGAACCCTAACATTTGTCAAAATAACCTTAAAAATGTCGTATCTTACAAACGATAATATGCAATCAAGTATATAATATACCTTAGATTAACTTGTGAGATGATGTATCCAAACATATGAGATTCGCATAATGAACTTGTATAGTGTCAAATTTATAAATAGTTAATTAAAGTGGGTGGATTTTATGAATTAGGGTTTTTGATGAGGAAGTTATGCCATGTTGAGTATGAACTGCAAATCTTTGAACATGCTTGAGTCTGGAATGTGCTTCAGTATTGTGATGATAACTTGAGATGTAGACCTCAGATTTGGATGATTCTTGGCCCATTGGAAAGCTTACTCGAAGGGCTACAACTCATATGTTTACTACTTTGCCAAATTCAGACTTTATCATTCTCAAATTTGGACATCTTCATCACGGCATTCAAATTTTTCTGTCGCGACATTGAAGTCTCAGGTCAAACTAGAAGTAAAGCAATTTTGAGCACACCATGGCATAATAAATTCTCTACCGCAACACAATTCCTGAAGTCCAAGTTCTAGATGAACTTTTTTAAGTTTTTACCCGAATTTTCTTATCCTAGTTTGAATAGGATTATTTTAATTATGCTCCTAAAACCTTAGCACTACAAGATGTTGTAAAACCTAAATATGGCTAATATTCCTTAGGGGTGGAGGGGGAATAGGAATTAATAAACATTATTGTGAAACAAAAACTATCACCACAAGCAATGACTAATGATGAGTTTAACAAATCAATGTTCAATAAATAAACTCAACAACCAAAGAACATAGACACTCTCAAAGATTTACAATATGAGTGCAAGTGACAGTATTTGATTTGGATTTTGAGCTCTAGGGATTATATGAGAATGTTCTCTGATTTTTTTTATAAGTCTCTTCTCTCTCTTTTGCATAAAGAATTTGAGCTTTTATATCCCTTCAAATTTAAGTCGTTGCTTCATTTAATGTAATTCTGAAAAGTCTATAAAACTTAAAGGAACGATTGTTCCATAATTGCGAACGGTCATTCTTGACACGAGAGATACTTTTTTCTCAAATCTAGGGTTCATGGAATGATCATTCTATCACACCGTATGATTGTGCAAAAGCATCGCAAAATCATTCCACCACGTGGAACGGTCTGACCAAAGGCTCTTCCAAATCCATTAAATTTCTAAAGGCATGCATGGCTTCTCGAAACGTTGTCGTGCGATTAGACAAAAATATGCTGATAGGAATGGTTGTTCCACTTTTGATATTTGAGTTTTGACTTGATCTGCAAGATTGACTTTTGAAGAATAGTTAAGAGCGCGAAGGATTCCGAATTTGTAATATCTTGACTTTTGACTTTAGCAGAACGGTCGTGCCAGAGTGAGCGATGTAACACATTTTGGCAGAGCATTGAATGACTATATGGAATGATGTCATGCAAAATGTTACGTTCATTTGGGTAGTTTTTATGACACTGAACGATCGTGTCTTGATCGTGCACAATCATACTAGTTGAAAAATTTGCTCACACACGGTCATGCTGCCTAACAAGTCTGTTTTGGTTTGGTTATGACTTGTGTCATACCTTAGCATGTCTTGGATAGTGATCAATAAACTTTTAGGTTAGTTTTGGCACATCAAAACACATGAGAGGCCAACAAATGTCTTTAGCTAGTTTTAATGGTGGGAAAGAGGAGAAAAAAGAGAGAAAACGAGCCATAATTTGGAACATCAAAGCAACTATTGTTGTAGCTTTGGTTCATCAACTAGAGAAGTTTTCTTTATTTCTTTTCTTGGTAAGTTTTCTTTATTTCTTTTCTTGAACCGATGTCTGTTATTTTTACAATGGTTATTTCTTTTAATACTATTATGAACTAATTAAATTTTCTAGAGTTAAGGTGTAGCCTGATTTATGAATATGTGCTGATGGATTTATGTTAGATTTTGTTACGCATATTTTTTCTAAGTTTTATTATTGTTCTTAATGCGTTCAATTCTTTTGGAACCAAGAGTTGATTGATATAGTGGACTAGGTTGAGATCAAGAGATGAAATCTAGTTAGTCTAAGTAATAAAAGCATAGATTGAGCGAAAGGTAGAGATAGGTAAACACGATTTGTGTGACTGTAGTAAATTCCAAATGGCTTACTGATCCCTTAAGACCTAAATTCAATTTAGAGATATCTTGGGTTAGTAATAAATGGTTAATCCCATAATTGTTCGAGAGAAAGTTATTGGAATTTCAGCGAATTTGGTCTTTAGAAAATGCTTAATAATGTTAGCATAATTTGTTGAGACATAGGAGTAAATTGGTGTGAAATCTATGCCCTAGGTATAGTCATATTGTTTTACAACTAGTGTTTTATTTGATTTGCAGTCTTATTTCTTTAGTTCTTAGTTTGTTTTCAATTTGATAGTTTAGTTATTTCATCCCATAAAGTGTTGATTAATCAAATAGTAATAGGAGTAATTTATTTTGGTAATTGGTAGTAGTAATTATCTAGGGTTCAATATCCGTTTACTCATACTACATTACTTGCATGATTTCATATGCTTGCGAAACCCCTGTCATAGATTGGGCTAGTAGACTTCATGACTAAAGATCTAAAAGTGGGTATTGTTTATTCCTTGGCTCAAATTTGATATAATGGTGTTCTAAGAAGCCAAAAATGGTTGTTTTATCTTCCACATAACTTGAGTATAGAGCTTTAACACAAACTTACACTAAAATAGCTAGGCAGAAGTTTTTTTTTTTTTCTGAACTGGGATTGCATTTTGTAGTTGCTCCCATAATATGGTGTGATAACCTCAGTGCTAGTTCCCTTGCTTCTAACGCCTGCACCAAACATATTGAAATTGATGCACACTATATCAAAGATCAAGTTACTATTAAACAACTTGTTATTCAATATGTTCCATCTAAGTTTAAAATTGCTAATGTTCTTACAAAAGCCTTAGCAGCTAAGAAGTTTGAAGTTTTAAGGAGCAAGTTGAAAGTTGTTTCTCTTAGTGCTTTTGTGAAAGAGAATGGTAAGGTTTCAAATTGAGAGCTCAAAGGATTATAATTGCCTTAGTAAAGGTTAGAGTAAAGGTTAAATGTGGAATTAGGTAAAGATTAAAACGATGTCGTTTACTCTTATTACTCATGTATTAAAATACACGTCAATCATATTCTATCAAGTTAGTTAGAAAATAAATCAATTTGACTTTTGCTTATTCTCTATTCTTTCTGTATTGTTCTCGATTGTTCTTGCCTCCATTAGAGCAGCTCTTTAATATTTTCATGGTATCAAAGCCATTGACACATGTCTTTGGCAAGAATTTAACAACTAGATATTGTGTTCTTTAGCTCAACTTCTTCAAGCTTTTTCCTATTCTGATAATCTTTTAATTCATCAAATCGGTTTTGCCAAAAATGGAGAACAACTCAAATAACTCGGTGCAATAAACAAGTTTAGCTTCACCACCAGCTCTACCTTCTATTTCTATCAAATTGAGTGACCAAAATTACAATTACTAGAAGTCTCAAATTCTTCCAGCTCTTATTGCTCATGGACTTGAAGGTCATCTCACCGGAGAGAAAATGTGTCCTCTAATGTTTACATTTGACAAATCAGATGAATCTAAGCAATCAAGGAAAAGAGGAAATCCTAACTATTTCAATTGGAAATGAACTGATCAGTTCTTGATGAGTTGGTTAATATTCTCTACTATTTCTAAATCCATGTTTCGACATGTTGCAAAGTATACTATTGCCTATGATATCTGGAACACGCTAGAATTGCATTTTCATTCAGCTTCCAAGGCTAGAACTCAACATCTGAGAAGTCTTTTACAAATTACTAAGAAGGATGCCCTTACTATTAATGAATATGTTCTGAAAATGAAAGATTTGAGTGATGAATTAGTAGCTAGTAGAGTTTTAATTAGTGATGAAGAGTTGTTGTTATACATCTTAGATGGTTAGGGCCTGAATATGATTTTGTTGTAGCAAATTCAACGTCAACAAGCAGTCAAGTTACACTTCAAGAAGCTTAGTTCCTTCTTCATAAACATGAAGTCAGGCTTGAAAGACAACATAATACCTACTCCAATTTTCATGATCATTTAGCTTTGGCTTTACTTGCTTCAAAATAAAATGAACCCCTTTTTCTGGTCAATTATGTCAACAAGAATGGCAATACATTAGTGTCTGTACTAGTAAGTGCACCATCAGTATAGTTTGAGACTCAACATGCTCAATTAGTCTACTCTTCTTCTCAGTACATGATGCCACAAAATTCATCCTTTGGTAGTAGTAATATGTTTCAACATGGATATCAAACTGAATATAGACTTGATTTTCATCCCTAGTTTCCTCATTATTCATCTAATCTTGCACATCAACTCATGACTCCTAGTATGATGATGTTTGGCTCCAATATGCAAAAAGGCAGAGGTAGAGGTCGAGGATATTTTAGGCCAAAACTCATCTGTCAAGTTTGTGGAAAGTCTAGTCACTCTACTCTTCAGTGTTATCACTGATTTAATCATGAATATCAGGGCTTTACTGGCTCGCATCCTGTTCACTCAACTAGCACTACAGGTCCAGTATATTCTAATATTTCCACTCAAGCACTACTAGCAACAAGAGTCACGCCGTTTCAATCTTTTCCATATCTACCTTATTCGAATCCTGCCTTGATCCAACCATCCTATAATTCAATTGGTCTTTATCTCAATATCATGCTTCAACTCAGCCACGATAATGTAAAATGCCTTGATCATCTTCCTTGCAAGCTCCAATTAATATTGAAGGCCAGTCTTCCAAGTCCATAGTTTCCTGTCCATCTGAACAACAAGGGTCTTTAGCAACTGCTACTTCTTGTACTCTGAATCATCAGACTTGGTTCACTCAACTTATCAAGGAGGCACATAGGTTCAGATAGGGAATGGACATACAGTTCCTATCACACACACATGTATTAGCTTTATACCTTCTCATTTCTCTTCTAAAGTGTTGAGTTTGAAGAATATGTTGTGTGTTCCTAATATAGCCAAAAACCTCTTAAGTATCTCACAATCTCACAAATAACAAGGGATGATGTTGTTGTTGTTGAATTTCATGCTGAAACTTGCTTTATAAAGAACAAAACAACTAGAGAAACACTGTTGCAAGGGAGTCTAAAAGATGGATTATATTAGATGCAAGTCTCCTTGCCATCTTTTAGACCTCTTAATGCAGCTATTTTCTCTTCAGTTCCTTTATATGAAGTTCCAGATTTCTGTCCTCAGCTTAATGTAGCAGCAAATAAAAGCTCAGTTTCATAACTTATGTCTTGTAGTCATAATTCTATCTTAGCAACAAATGATTGTACTTCTACAAATTCTGTATTAGACACCAAGCTTAGCACTACATTGTTATGGCATATTAGGTTAGGTCATCCTCAAGAGAAAACATTGAGAACTGTAATGAATAAAATGCATGTATTTGGTTATTTTGGCAATAAAACTCCTTTTTGTGAAGCATATCAATATGAAAAAATGCAGCAAGCCTAATTTCCTAAGTCTACTTTTCACTCACAAGCTCCCCTTGAATTGGTATACTCTGATTTATGGGGGCTTGCTCCAATTCAGTCTTCTGAAGGTTTTTGATATTACATTATATTTGTGGATGATTACAGTCGTTTTATGTGGATTTATCCTTTGAAGGCAAAATCTGAAGCTTTTCCAATCTTTATTAAGTTTCACTGTTTAGTTGAAAGGCAACTGAACCATAAACTCAAGTGTCTGCAAACAGACGGGCGGGGGGGAGTTTAGGTCATTTTCCAAGTATCTAAACCACCATGCATCCAATTTCAATACCCCTGTCCCTACTTACATCAGCAAAATGGCAGGGTAGAGAGAAAGCATAGAGCCATTATTGAGTTTGGACTAGTCTTAATTACCCATGTTGTTATGCCACTTTGTTTTTGGTGGCAATCTTTTAGCATTGCAGCTTTTCTGCTAAATAGATTGCCCTCAGCTTCTATTGAGTCCTCTACTCCTTTCACCATGCTCTTTGGACATGAAACAAATTATAGTGATCTAAAGGTCTTTGGATGCTGTTGTTACCCTTTCATTAGACCATATCAGAAACATGAGTTCTCTTATTACACTAAAAAGTGTGTGTTTTTGGGTTATAGCCTGGTCCATAAAGGCTATAAGTGCATGTCCTCAACCGACAAACCATATATAGTCAAACAAGCCAAGTTTAATGAATGTGACTTTTCTTTCAAAACTGATTTCAACTTTAAGAATATCTTATGTGAAGATACTAAGGTTGTTGGTTTGGTTAATGCCCATATCTTTCAAAGTTCTTGGCAACTTCCAACTTGTTCTATCAGTGCATCAGAGTCTTTAACTTCAACTTCATCTGGTTTACATACTTCAATAGGTCTTGAAAACCAAGGTTTTGGGGACCAATTGGCCACTGATCATACTCAGTATACTGCTTCTCAAGATCCTGCATCAAGAGTAAGTATTCCTTCTAAAATGTTGCCTTCCTATTCAGAGTTCACCATTTCTCCATCATATAATGATCAGCCAACTAACATACTCAATTCTAGTTCTTTAGAAAATTTGTAGTCTAAAGCATCAAATTTTCCAAGAATTCAATTGGAAGTAGCTCTTCCATTCTTAAAGCCACATACATAGAATGCTCACCCTATGGTGACTAGGTCCAAAAGTAGATCACAATCATCCAATATTTGTGCCTATTTGTATACTCAAACCATTCTACCAGAACCAAAAACCACTGCTGAGGCTTTAAGTAAACCCGAGTGGAAAGATGTCATGGTAGCAGAATATAATGCTCTCTTGACAAATCAAACCTGGGAGTTAGTTCTTTACAAGCTAGAAATGACTATAGTGGGAAGTAAATGAGTGTGTAAAACCAAGTTGAACTCTGATGGATCCTTGCAATGGTATAAAGCCAAGCTTGTTGCAAAGGGATTTTAGCAAACACTAGATTTGGATTACTTTGAGACTTTTCTCTTGTCATCAAAGTTGCCACCATACAAGTTATGTTGTCTTTAGCAGTTCATAAAAATGGGACATCCAGCAAATTAACATCAATAATGCCTTCCTCAATGGAGAATTAACCGAGGCTATTTACATGGGTCAACCAGAAGGGTTTGCTAACACAACCTTTCCAAGATATGTATGCAAGTTGCATAAAGCCTTGTATTGCTGGAAATAAGCTCCTAGAGCTTGGTTTGACAAACTGAAAGGTGCTTTGTTGTCATGGGGGTTTGTGAATTCCACTTCTGATGTCATTTTGCTTTATTTTAAAAAAGGCTCTCAAGTACCTTTTGGTATATGTGGATGATATCCTTCTTATAGGGAACGATAATCATGTCATTGACAAGGTTGTGGTAGACTTGAATAAGAAGTTTTCTCTCAAAACTTTAGGATCTCTCCACTACTTCGTTGGTTTTGAAGTGACTAAAAATAGTTCATCCTTACTCTTAACTCAAACTAGGTATGCTTAGGAGTTACTCAGCAAAGCTGGCATGCCAGATTCCAAGCCTTGTACCACTCCAATGGCTCTTGGTACTAAACTCAGCAAGGAGGATGGTAAACCATTTGATCAACCTTCTTTTTACAAGAAAGTTGTTGGTAGCTTGCAGTATCTTACCTTGTCCGGGCCAGACTTAGCATTTGTTGTCAAATAAGTTTTGTCAATTCTTTCAATCTCCTACAGTAGCTCACTAGACTATGTGCAAGAGAGTACTTAGGTACATTCAAGGTACCATTCATCATGGTTTAGTGTTCACTTGAGAAAAAAGGTTTGGTTTGGACGGTTATGCAGATGTTGATTGGGCAAGTGACACTAATGATAGAAATTCCACCAGTGGTTATGGTATTTTTCTTGGAGAGATATCTCATTTAGTGGAGCTCAAGGAAGCAAAAATTTGTGTCATTATCTTCCACTGAAGCAAAGTACAGGCCCTTATGTCAAGCTGCCACTAAACTAGTCTCGATTCAAAACTTGTTTACAGAACTTGAAATTGAGATAACAACCACACCAGTTCTTTGGTGTGACAACATGAGTGCAGGGGCCTTATAATCTAACCCTGTTTTTCATGCAAGAATAAAGCACATCGAAATAGATGTGCATTATGTTCGAGAGCTAGTTGCTGATAAAAGAGTGTGTGTGCAATATGTGGGTACTAAATATCAACTTGCAGACATATTAACAAAACCTTTGTCGGGTCACAGGTTTTAGTGGCTAAGGAAGAAGTTGAAGGTGGCTGAGTCACTAGAAGTACAACAAGAAGTTTCTAGTAACTAAAGCATAGAAGCTGGTTTGTGTACATTGAATAGATTAGTCATAGTCTTGATATGCTATTCTGATTACTGTGTTGATGATTTGATTGATACTGTTGTAAGATGCAAGTTGTGATGCTGAATCAGTTAGTAGTATGCTGCTTGTTGTAGCTCTGGTATGCTGATTTGATGAGTATAAGCTATGAAGGTGTTGTATGGTGTTACAAATATGGTGCTGAATTAGTAAGGTGCTGAATGCATCTGTATGTTATGGTAGTATGGTGTTGAATTGTAAGCTACTAAATGGGTTTAGTGTTGGTATGATGTTGTAGTCTGGTGTAGAGTAAGTTTTTCTATTCAGTATGTTATGGTATTATGGTGCTAAATTGTAAGCTGCTAAATGTGTTTAGTGTTTGTATGATGTTGTAGTCTGGTGTAGAGTAAGTTTTTTTTCAGTATGTTATGGTAGTATGGTGCTGAATTGTAAGTTGCTAAATGTGTTTAGTGTTGGTATGATGTTGTAGTCTGGTGTAGAGTTAGTTTCTATTGGCTCAACAATATGATGTTCTGAGTTTTTTTTTTTTTTTTTTTTTAGTATGCTAGTATGCTGCTAAAGCTGAATTATGTTGTTGAATTTTTGCTGCTGAATTGGTCATGTTCAACAAGACAACTGATGTTGAAGGATGGTGCTGATTGTTGAAGTCATTGCCGAAAGTCAAATTTTTCTTTTTGTTTGCAGATTAGAAATAGAGGAAGTTATGTTAAAGGGGAAATATTAAGATAGAATCAGTATTGGAACCTAGAGAGTGTTTTGTTTATGGGGGTATGTTAGAATAAAAGTTAAATGTGGAATTAGGCAAAGATGAAAAACGGTGTCGTTTACTCTTATTACTCATGTATTAAAATGCACGTTAATTGTATTCTGTCAAGTCAGTTAGAAAAGAAATCAATTTGACTTTTGCTTCTTCTCCATTCTCTCTGTATTGTTCTCGATTGTTCTTGCCTCCATTGGAGTAGCTCTTTAATAATTTCAATAAGAAAAAGCTCAGAAAGATAGTTAGAGTAGAGATGATTTTGAAGATAAGCAAAGAAATCATAAAGATGAATTGATGATCAAAGTATAGATGATGATGATGATGAGGTAAGCCAAGTTTTACTTTACTAAAAGTTGAGTTCATAGAAGTTAGAGTGAGCTCACTTATTAAGTCAGAACAAGTCAATGTACTAAGTTTGTTAAGATCGTTAATTTTATTAACGTTTGTTAAAGTTGCCATTAGTTCAAAATTAGCTAAGTTTCTAAAGCAAGCTTAAGTCAGATTATCAAGCTTAAGCTTTCTCTTGTACTTATGTATAAGACTTTGTAATCTCATTCTTCATCCAATCCATGAAAGTATAGATTTTTCATTCTTCTTTACATATGTTGACTATAATTAGTAAACCAAACCAAACCAAACCAATTTGAATCGAATTGGTGGTAAATTTTGAAAGAGTTTATGGACTCTTTTTAACGCACAGCAAAATGGGTTTCAAGTGGGTGTATAATGTCTTTGCTTAAAGATTACCAAAAAACAAATCAATCAACCAACCATGAGCGTAAAAGTAAAGCACATAGAGATTTACATGGTTCGGCTAAAATCCTTTTAGCCTACATCCATGGGGACCTCATCCAGCTTAAGCCAATCCACTGTAACAAACACAATTAAAGGCAATCCAAAGTCAAAGTTAAGTACAACAAAGTAAAAACTCCCTGTTCTACAAGACTCTTAACTCCACCCTTTGATCCCTTAAGTGTTCTGCTACATCAAGCTTCCACCTAAGGCACCGCTTGGTCAGCTTGAGCTCCTCTCAAGCTTCAATGGTTGAAGCTTCCCTTTAACTCCACGGCTTGACTGACTTCAAGTGTTCAATCAAGGAACCACGTTCCATAACTCAAACAAAGATAAAATGATCGTTAATATAATCAACAATCAATAAGAACCTGTGCAAAGATACTTTGAAAAATTCAAAGCAAAACCAGATTAATTCGCAAGGAAGAAGATGACCCAATTTATATCCTTGCATGAACCAATCTCCACTGTACACATGTGAGATCCTTTTTACTAACTGTCTTGGACCACTCTAAGAATAGAGTGACACTTGTAATCATAAAGGAAAATAAGATATAAATATTTTAAGAAAGACACGTGTAGAGAGAGAGCGAGGTTAATAAAATGTTTACACATACATTGGAAATATCCTCACATGCATAAACAATTAAAGAGAATCATATGGCCTGTTTAGTTTATTATTTTATACCCCATTCTCAATTCTATTCTCAAAATAACTGTTTATTTTATTATTTAAGAAATACTTTTATATTATATTTAATTATTTTTAATCCTCTTAAATTTACTAATTTAATTAAACATCCCCAGAAAAAAGTTTAAGAATTAACAAAAACACTTCCACTTATCCATAGTTGCCAGATTCCGATAACTATCGTCGGTGGTAGCCGAAATCTGTTATAACGGTGTACAAATGATCGAAACTCGTCGGTAATTCGTTGATCTGGTCGTCAGCTATAGCCAAAGAAATGACTGACAACGACGGCCAGATCTGACCTTTTGCAACCATTGATGGCCAGATCTGGCAGTAGATCTAGCCTTTTTCGGCCAGATCTGTGGTGGATCGGGCTAAAAAAGGCCAGATTGATGCACGACCGGTCAGATCCGACCAGTCTGGGTCATAACGCCAGATTCCGGCGGTGGTGGCCAGAATCTGGCACTATGGGTGGGTAAGGGTGTTTTTGTCATTTTACAAAAAATCTATATATTGGGGTTTTTAGTTAAATTAGCAAGCCTATGGGGTTTTTTTTGATTAATTTTTAAATTTTACCTCATAATAATCACCCTATCCAATACTATTTCTAAAATTCTATCCAAAATAACAAACCAAACGGACCCATAATTGTGCTCTAACAGTCGAAAGTGCAAACATCACAAATAATGTTCACACATATTTCATTAGTTCACAATAAAGAGCTTACAAAATTGGTTCAAATTGGTTTGGTGCATTAGCATATAAAGCCATGCTCCTTGTTATTATACCTAATGTTACATAAATATTTTAGGAACTAAAAAAGTATGAAAAAATTGAATATGAAAAAAATATCATCATACAATATTTCATATATAGTATATGTCCCACTGTTGCCAATTTTGTTTTAAAGAAATTAGTCTCATGAACATAAAATAATACTTCAAAAAAACTCATATGCATACAACGGGAGCCCTATTAATTAGTAAGGGTTCCTAACACCGACTTTCCTTAAGGTTTCAACGTTTCACAAGCGCGTAGAGAAGATAATTCGGTCTGTTAGCTGTCATTAGGGCATATATAACTAAAAATAAATTGATTGTAAATTTAATAATATAGTTAATTTAAAATTTTAGTGATAAAAGAAGATAACTTCCGTATATTTCAAAACAATAATACTGCTCTTCCCAAAATGTATTCCAAGTTTTACATTCTAAGTGATGTGTCAACACATGTAGTATTGATATGTAAATAAAATAATGATGCATTGAATACATGACAATGTCCATATAATGACATATTATTTGGGATGTGAAATTTGGGATAAATTGTATTACTCATTTTAAAATTGAAATTACTAAAATAACCATTATTTTTTAAATATGATCTAATGGATACTAATGGAATGAGACAGATGTTAGCCTAATCATCTGCTCTCCATGCTTGTCTATAGGTTGAAACCTTAGGGGATTTCAATGTTATTAACCATATTTGCAACTCTAAATTTCTATATAATTTAACCCTACTATTCGAAAGAAAAACTAAAATTACCTGTAATAAAACCGCTTTGGTCTGTTTCAGATTTTTCTGCTTAGAGACGTTGCATACCCTTACAAATAATTTCCTAATTTTCAGATTATTCCTTACTAAAATAGAATCTTACCATATTATGGATTACTATTCACACAAGTTGACAACATTCTTCTATAAATACTATGACATTATTAAAATCCCTAAAGAAAAGTTTGTTGAGCATGACCAGTGATGTTGCCGATGAGGGTACTCGATCAATGTTTTAATAACAGATTCGGGGTGAAACTCGGCAAAGTGGGTGAGCCCCAGGTGCTAGTCGGGACCGGTGAAGTCAGTATGTCCAGAGGTTTGAAATCCAGCAAACACATCTCTGTGATCTAGTCAAATACAAATCGGTGGTCGACTGGTTAGCGACAATGACACCAAATGCTAATCTCATTCATCCTTTGAGCTATTCCCTAGCAAATTTACCCAAGATCTGGCCGCAATTGAATAATTTTCTGCAAAAAACGCCTTTGTGTCCAACTGTCAACCCCTCTATTTGCCCTACTAATCATCGGCAATAGCTCGCTATTGT